CCCCCGCAGCCCTGCCCTGCCCTGCAGCCCCAGCCCCGCACGGCTCCCGCTGGACGAGGCGGACAGCCGAGAGCGCAGMCCCGCGGGTAAACGGGCCGGAGCACTCGCCCCCGCGGCACGGCCGCACCCCACCCTCACCTGCAGCGCGGCGCCTCCGCACCCCGAGCCCGCGGCGGCCACACCCGCGCAGCCGGCCCGGCCCGGCCCCGCCCCGGGGCGCAGGCGCACAGCCCTCACCGCCCTCACCGCCCCTCCGCCCAGTGCCCCGGGCTGCCGGCCGCTCGGCTTCGGTGTGGTTCGGGGCCGTGCCGCGCAATGTCCTGCCCTCAGCTCGGCGGGATGGCCGGCGGAGCGGGCGGCCCTCGCCCTTGCGTGCCCCCGAGCCCGGGCAGGGCCGCGGGGCGGAGCGGCTCCTCCGCAGGCGGGGGGCGGTGCTGGCGGCGGCGATGGCGGCGCTGATGGCGGCGCTGGSGCGGCTCTTCCGCCGCGGCCCCGCCGGGCTGGGGACAGCGCTCCGGCGACAGGCGATGGGCGGCCCCTGGGGCCGGGGCCGGCCGGGAACCGAGGTAGCCGGGGTGCCGCTGGGTGCGGGGAAGCGCGGCCGCTTCCAGGGACTGGTTGGAATGGGCTGCGCAGGGAGGCTGGGGAGTCACCGTCTCCAGAGGTGTTTAAGGAAACACAGGACGCGGCACTCGGTGCCAGGGTGTAGTTGACGTGGTGGGGCTCGCTCGTAGGTGGGATCCGATGATCTCAGAGTCTTTTCCACCGTGATTCCCTGTGTGATTCCCGCAGGGTGTGACCGCCGCTCGCCTCCGCGGTAGGAAGGAGGCGGGTGGAGGCTCCAGTAGCGAAGGACTGGTTTATTTGTGCGGAAATTGAGAGCCCTATGCTCGTTGGAGCAATACGGATCTGAAATTTTGTTTCCTACCTTGCGTTTAATCCATACTTGGTGGTTTATGTTCGGTATAGTGCTCCGTTCGTGTTCTTAAACGTAATCGTGAGCTCCTGTTGAATGTACTAAAAATACTCTCCCGCTGAAGTGGCGTTTTGTCTTATGAGGGTGATTAAAGATTKTAAAGTCTTTTCTTTGCTCAAAATCTGAAATATAACCGGTCATACAGMCAAGAAAAACCTTTAACTTGGAGTGATAATGTTCATTAATACCTGTCYTATGATTCTACGCAGGTGCTTAGAAAAAGCCTTCAGAATGGGGTTGTACTTTCAACAGGGTCCTTTTTGGTTTATGAGGCTCATAAGCTGATTTCTGGCTTTGCTGAGGTTCATGCAAGCTTCAAAGGTAATAGTTTCAAATTTTAAAGTATTTTGGTTATTCTGATATGAAGCTTAACATTTTTGTGCCAGAATTGTAGAAGGAAATGGCGTCATGCTTGTGATATTTTCCATTAGGACTTCATGTAGTGTCATTTCGTGATACGATCGTTTAGAATTGGTTATGGGTGGCCTTGTAGCACATCAACAGGTGATTATTTCAGGTGTCACCGAAAACAGATCTAGTATCTCATCCTGTCAGGGATAGAGCACATGCACAGGGTGTATGATAACTAATTTGCTGCCTGATCTTTAAATGATTGTTATTGAAAAGATATAGGTCTGTTAGGAATGCAGTCCAAGACCTAATCTATTTCTAAAAATTTCAGTTACTTCAGATTTTCAGTTGAACATGCCATGATTCCTGTTTAATCTAGTTGAGCAACACTGAGATAGTGCTTAATACAAAATTGAGAAATGTCTTCTTTAGTAACTCTAAACAGGGGAAGCAAAGCCCTGCTCTATGTATCAAAAACCAATGTAACAAGTGGTAAAATATCTTTTCATAACCTTTGAATAAGGATAGTCTCACTGTGGGAAGGASAGTAACAGTATCYTAAAAGGTAATATTGTTGCAGATGATGAACTTATCTGTCACATGCTAAATAAGGATTTTCAGAGTAAGCGTGACAGAAGGGAGAGTGAGCCTAACTGGATGCATGCTTACCATGTAGTTGAGGTAGTAACCACTTCAGGTAACCTGTTTCTCTGTGTCTCAAAAAGAGGAACATCTTAGATGTTTAAGCATATAGCAATACAAAATCAGATGGTAAATTTCTGAATGAATAAGGAGCTGTTCCATGTGCTATAGCAGAAAGAGTGTCAGTAAGTAGAGTTGGAATAGCTGCTCAGTACACAAATAAGCAGTAATGAGGAATAAAGAATTCATTGTTTCTCCTGAGGAACACAAAAACACCACTTAGTTGCCTTTGGTCTTTTCAGTGTTCCCACTTGAATCTGACACATTCCTGAGAAAAGCAATGCTGACACACTTTTTATACAAGACATGTAATAAATATGGTGAAGATAAGGGTGAAATAGAAATATCTGAAAAATACTCTAGTTAAAGAGTGTAATAATTTGCATAAAACACTTTGTGGGAAATGCATTCAGAAGTGTTGAGTTCTGAGCATTTACTCATTAGATACGTTAGTAGTGTCAGGTCAGCAAGCAAACATASCAGTTTATGACGATAATACTGAAGATGTACCAAAAAGCTCATTTTGAAAAATCCAAAGTCCATGTAGACCTTTACCTTATCTTTGAAAGGGCTGAAAGAAGACCTTTAGAGACAGCAAAGTTAAAAATTATCCAGAATGCACTGATTTATACTCTAGGATCGTTTTAAGCTGAAAATGGGGCTTTTGTGTTCAGTTCCTTCAATATTTTGCTTCTTTTGTAAAGAAAACAGTGCTGCCTATAACATGGCTACCATATTTACTAGGCAACTTGAAAAGGGAAGAAGGAAACCTGCTTCATTTTTATGAAGGGGGTTAGAGCTTATGTTTTGACTTAAAAGTTTGATCATGGACCCAGGAGTAAATACCAAAGAAACAGCAAGCATAGGTAAAAGTTCTGGAAAAAACTAGACAAGGCTTTTAATTGAAAAGGTAATTTTTTAATGCTTTAAAGTTGGCAGAAGAATAAKCTCGGAGTTTATTCTTCTCCTATACAGTTACATACTTCAACAGAATTATCTATCTGCTTCCATATGGGTATTTTTCCTTCTAATTCCATCTGTTCTTATGCTACAATTCTGTATTGTGTGGTGTTTGATAGTTCTGTTTCCTATACGCTGTTTAAGTACTATATTTATTTATATATTATTATATTTATATATTATTATATTAATCCAGTTGTGGAAGTTATATTTCCCCACCTCTGTTGTGTTTTAAAATATTTTTTAGGAAAAAAGTATCATAAAAACAACAGTACTTAGTTTATAAATTGATACTCTAGAAAGCCAATTCTGATTTTCAAGATTATATTTGCTTTTAGTATCTTGAACACACAGGAGTTTCAGTAGATTAACTSTATATTTTGGAGTTGTGTTTGGGAAAATCTTACGGACTTCAGGCAGAAAACCTTTAAGCAATGTTTTGTTTTGGCTTGTGAGTAAATAATGAGACCCATTTAAACAGCAGCAATCTGGCAAAACTGTGAAGTAATATTGAGAATGAAAAATATTTTTAGAAGAATGGGTTTTTTTCATTGCTATTATTAGATTTAAATTCTCTACATATACTAATGAAGGGGTTTTGTTACTTTCAAATCTCTATTGTACTTGCCCCCCGCTACATTTTCCATTTTTTTCCTTATCTGCCATTTTCACAAGTTAAAAAATAACTTATTTCTAGTAGTCTGATGCACTGAGAAAGACACCTTTGAGTGTTAAATCTGTTAAGCATCCAAAGCTGTCTTGCTGAAAGCTGTTGTAGTTTCACTGGAGAGGCACCGATTCTCATCCTCGAGCATTGTACATKATGCTTATTCAATCCTGCTGTGCTTGTAAGTTATTTGAGATGATGGTCTAAAAATGAGCTACATCATTTTCAGSTAGGTTGTCTTGCTCTGARATGTTTTGGTTTTGGTGGTAATGTCGTAATTAACTGTAATTTCTTCTTCTGTTTCCACAATTTTAATTCCTTCATAAGTGGAAGATGTGATAGAACAAGCAGACTACCTGTATGGGAGTGGAGAAACTGAAAAGCTGTATCGGTTGCTGGTTCAGCATAAAAATAGGTACTTCATTGCCTTGGGACATTACTGTGGTTTCTTTTCTGTGCTCTTATGTGTCAGTTTTTCAACTAATATTCTCATTGTGGGMTGCTGGAGAACTTATTTTTCACCTTTATGTAAGTAGAAAAAAAGGACTTGTGATCTTTTTCCTCCTAATGGAAAAATGAAGAGGGAGATGGTAGTTGAAGGTGAGGGTTAACCCTCCAGTTTTTTAGTTCTGTTTGTTTCTTTTGAATCCCTTAAAATATACTGCAAAAATTCTGAAAGACTGTAAAATCTCTATTAAGATATAATCCAGAATTAAAACTGTAGTTATCTAAAGTAACTAAAGAAGTGCAAGCAGTGCTTCATAAAAGTATGTTAATGAAATAAAACTTAAGATMATTTAGCTTTGACTATAACCTACCATACATCATTTCATAAGGTGATATAAATAAATACATAAATGTAGGGGCTTATGTGCTTGTGTTATGGCTAATCTGAGTTTTTTTACTGTTTTTCTATGAAGAATTTAATAATTTAAGTACAATTACAGGAAAAAACAGATGCATAATGTTTTAAGTATTCCAAGTAAAYATCAATACAAATCAGCAGAGTGCTGGAAAAAATACCATCTAGCTAAGAACAGAGTAGCCCACCTTTTCCTTCTGGTGATACCATTGGCATTTWAAAAATCTGTATCCTTGTTTTTGAGAAAACAAAGACCTTTCCTACAGATATGCTTGCTTTKCAGACCAGAATGGCACAACAAAGTTATTGTCAGACACTGTATAATGGCAGGCTTTCATTTGCTGTTTGTTACGTTGGTATTGTACATAGCATAGCATGACAGATGACACGCTGTTGTCTTATCACCCACTTGAGATACACTTTGGAAGAATCCTTTAAGACTTTTTTTTTTGTTTTCCTGATTACTTTAAAACATTAGTGTTTCTGTTCCTCACCAGTGATGATGCAGAGTTGTTGTGGCGGCTGGCACGGTCATCAAGAGATCTGGCTCAGCTTGGTAGTACTTCTGCAGAGGATAAGAAACAACTGACATATGACTCCCTTGAGTATGCAAAAAAGGCACTCGAAAAAAATGAATCAAATTCTGCAGCACACAAGGTGAGCCATGAAAAATAACTGAAATCTTGTTGATTTCTGTTT